GTCTTCAGCTTATGACTGATTGTAATTCATAAAAAGGGGTTCTAAAACTTGCCCAGTGAAATAGGCTTCTTGCAGAGCCTTTGAAGTGTATAGGACCTGAGGTGGAATCCTGAGCCCCAGCCAGAATCTTCTGAGGGGACATGCCCAGGCTGCTGCAGACCAGTCTGGAGCAGCTAGAAAAACAGAAGATACTTCCTGAAAGAAAGACCAGCAGGAAAAAAACAAAATTAGCCATCTGTTTGGCTACTACAAGAACAAGCAAGCTGTTTGCCGGGGAGCCATCAAGGTAAGCAATCAAGTCCTTTCAGGACAAACCCCCCTCCAAGACTGAAAATCAAAGGGAATACATGACTAGGCATGTAAGCTCTCTGGTGACCTTGTTGGTTTACATGTGAGTGGAAGTGTGGGAAAGTCAGTAATGAAGATAAGGGCTGAGTGTTTGACCACGTTCCATAGACTCCTGTTGACCTTGAGATGAGAGAGAGAAGGACTGGTTGGTCTGAAGTTTGGTAAAATTTGGAAACTCCTGAGCCCATGGACATAGACCTAGCCATAGAGGGCTAGAGCTAAGAGTGAAGCATCCAGCTGATATGAAGTAGGGGAAGGAGCACAAGAATGCCCAAACTTGCAGATAGTTTGACCTATTTTGATGGCTTAATAATCAGAACTCAACTAGAGAAAGATAGAGAAATTTGATAAAGGAAGTAAGTGTAAATTGCTACAATGTGATGAACATGACCTTTACTTATGGATATAGTAGCTCACAATACCAACTGAGAGGAAAGGAGTCTTCATATCAAGGATCACACAGGGTTTATAGGGACAAGCAACTTAGACATTGGCTACCTAAAAAGGGGTGGTGATGGTGCTATAAAGACATAAAGTGACCGGCTTACACATTTTAAAGAGGGAGTTTCGTTTCAGAGTGTGCAGGGGAAGGTAGAATCCCCACTGAATAGTTTTCATCTTGTCTAGATGGGTCTGGAAAGAGATGGGGATATGATTCGTATGATACAATAATGAGCAATTGTTGTTATAACTAATTGCAACTGTCACAACGGTAAAATTAGAATTTTTGTAATAAAAATGGGGATTAGTTAATCTTACATTCAGTAAGAGAGGACCCTAGGAGAGAAGAGCATGAACGGAATTTAGGACCCTAATCAGAGAAGCAGGGACACCAGAGATGAAAGCAGAGATATTAGCATGGAGAGATAGAGCGGCTGAGAACTCTAGATTCATGGAAAGAGGAAGTCTGTGTGCTGGTGGGCAGGAGGCTGGTTTGCAGAATGTGCCCTTTGGTTGTTTAAATGATTATATATTCCTGAGTGTTTTTGTGTACATCAAAAACAAAAGCAAAAAACAGAGGTAATAGAAGCAAATACTGTTAAATGATGATGCATGGAGGGGATTGTAATTATTGCAATGAAACAAAATACAATAGGATGAGAGCAAAACAGATGCTCTCCCATGGAATCTATCACTCAATTCACAATAAAAGCCTAAAAAAGAAAAAAAAAGCCCAAAACCTATCTTGGTGAAAAAGAGCCCTTGGTAGCATAGTGGGTTATAAGTTGGGTTGCTAATTACAAGGTCAGCAGTTCAAAACTACCAGCCATTCTGTGGTAGAAATACGAGGCTTTCTGCTCCCATAAAAATTTACAGCCTCAGAAACTGTATACAGGGCTACTATGAGTCAGAACCATCTCCACAGCACAGTCACTACCACCAGCAGTACCTTCTGAAGGAAGATCCACTGGGTCCCTTCCCACTGACTTTCACGGGACCCTCATTCCTGGGACACTTGTTTGCAGAGAAGGGACACACAGGGGATCATGGAAGCCCAGAAGCAGTGCATCCCCAGCCTGGAAGAATTGGAAACTTCTTGAAGCTTTTGCTGAGCTCTGAGACCCTCTGGCCTAGTATCCCCAGTGCAGACCAGTCAGGGCTGGAGAAGTCACAGAACAATAGTAGATGGATCAAGGCATGATGCTCCAGACCCCTAACTGGGCCTCCTTCCCAAGCCAGAACCCCACTCTGCAAGTCGGAGACGCTGCCCTGCCTGAAGGAAAGCAGTGCCACCTGCTGGTACAACAGGGAACTGCAGACCCCATCTCGCTTTAAATGTGCCAAACATTCCCATTCCAAATCTGTTCTGTACCCCTCCCCTCCCACCTTGCAGTGCCTACCTAGCATAGTGATAGACCCCTAGGGTCTTACCTGAAAGAAGTGAAAGTCCTTCAGCAGGGGTGACCACCCTGTCATTCCAGCCCCAGCAGGTACAGGAGGGGGCTACTCACTAGAGACAGTGTCACCTAGTAATGGCAGCTTATAAAGCATGTCCTCGGTTTCCCTAACCTTTGCAACAAAGCTTAGGGGTAGAACACTTTTCAGCTTGGAAAAATGAGGCTCACGGAGAAGATGGGTTTTGCAAAGCTGGTCTCAGAACTTAGCTCTCCTGAGACTGAGCCCAAAGGTGTGTCCTCTCCAGTGGGGGAGGGTGAGAGGTCACCGGATGTGAAAATCACGGATACAGTGGAAATCAGTGGTTCTCCACTTGAAGTCCCAGCATCAGTGTCACCTGCTGGAACTTGTTGGATATGCTCATTCTTGGGCCACATTCAGATCTACTATATCAGACACTTGGTGTGTGTGTGTGTGTGTAGCCCAGCAATCTGTGCTTTAACAAGCCCTCCAGGTTGTATATTAAGGCTGCTAAAGGTTGAGACCTATTGGTCTAAAACAACTGCACGCCTCTCTTTTATTAAAGAAATGTTTATTTTGGAATGATTTTAGATTTACAGAAGACATTGTGAAGAGAGTACCCAGTTGTGGTGTGCTGTCCACCCAGTCTATCTCATCACCACTGTCCACTTGTCAAAACCAAGAGACTGACATTGTTAGTTGCTGCTGAGTTGGCTGCTGCTCGCGGCGACGTGTGCAACAGCAGAGTCAAGCACTGTTGAGCCTTGTACCACGCTGACTTTGGTGCATTACTATGAACCAACATCGGCCTGACTCAGCTCCCCAGTCTTTTCACCAGGCTTTCTGGTTCTGAGGTCCAATTCAAGGTGCCATGTTGCATTTAGGGATAGATCTCTTTTTAAATTGTGTTGGTCACCTCCACCATCGTCCACTGGGACAGAGAAATGGGGGGAATGCTGTTGTGTTCATTACTGAGCTGGGGGAGCTTAGGTTGAGGACAAAGTGACTGGGTGCCCTTAGCAGAACAGAGAGAGCAAGGCCTGTCTCACTGTGCACCCTTCCTCTAGTCCCCCACCTCCCTTCATGCATTTCCCGCTCCTGGCCCACCACTGCAGATGGATAATGAGAGATGCTTTTGCAGGAGTGGGCGCAGCCCTTGGGGAGACCCATCTTCCGGTTCCTAGGGGTTGTGGCAGGGGCCAAGGAGGCTGCTACTGCAAATCTGGTGTGGAAGCACCCAGGTACACTCTCAGGTCTGACAGAGTGGACTGGACAAGCTTGGCAGGGATGGTCTCTCGCTGCAGCTGGCGGTAGGCAGCATAGCGATGGCAGCCCCCGAAGGAGTAGAAGTAATCACCACCCTGAGCTCCTTTGATCCAGAGGACATCGATGGGGGGCACACGATCTGGGTCCTCCTGGGTAAGAGACGGCATGGGGTGAATGAGCATGGCACTACACTCGACAGTTTACAAAGCAGATTTTGTCAATATGTGTGGAGCTCCCACCCGCCGGGTGCTCACATTGGGTCAGGAGAGTCAACATTTTCAGGCATTTTATGGGCTGGTTGACAGTACCTTGGTAATTTGAAAATCAATCAAGGTGAGTATTTACACCAGGGAAATTGGCAGATGGTACAAATCAGGGCTGTTTTCCTCCCTGGTGTTAAATATTTACCAGAAAACCAATGTATCCTATATATATGCCCTTGTTCTAGACTCAGCACAAGAAGCAAGACAGACAGCCCTTCCCTACCTTTGTGGGGCATGCAGTCTAGTGGGGTAGACAGAACAAAGAAGTGAAGGGTAGAGAGTAATAGTGGCTATAAAGAAAACACCAAGGGTTGACATGGCAGGGATGAGGGCCGACCTCTCTGAGGTGACTTCAATGCTGAGAAGAGTGAAAAATCCACTTGAGAGGATAGGGTTAGAACTGCTTATGGTAAAAGCCCGATTTCTTGGGTTAAAATTTCAACTTTGCTACTTAGCAGCTGGGGAGTCCTGGTGTGGCGCTGTGGGATAAAGCACTTGACCACAAGATTGGTTTATACTGCAAGGCTGGCAGTTCAAACTTACCAGCTGCAACTCAGAAACCCTTTACAGGGTCACTATGAGTTGGAACTAACGTGATGGCACTTAATAACAACTAAGAAGCTGGAGTCCTGGTGTGGCACTGTAGGATAAGCACTGGACTGCTAACCGAAAGGTTGGTGGTTCAAGCCCATCAGTCGCTCATCAGAAACCCTATACAGGGTCACTGTGAGTCAGAACCGACTCGACAGCACTCAGAAACTTAGCAGCTATGTGACCTTAGCCAATTAATCCCAGATGGAGATGAAGATATTTGATTCACCTCATAGAGCTGTTGATTAAATGAGTTAGTATATGTAAAGTGCTTCAAACAGTGCTAATACAAAAGGTCTTCCAATAGTTTGTGGATAAATGGAATGAAAAGATATGGAATTTTTCTACGAACTTTTGGAAGCCCCCTCATATGTACCGTGGGAAGATCCGAGGGACCCATGTCTTAGTTTCTTAATGCCGCTATAACAAAATACCACAAAAGGGTGGCTTTAACAAACGGAACTTTATTTTCTCACAGTCTAGAATGTCAGAAGTCCAAATTCAGGGTGCACGCACTAGGGAGACTCTCTGCTCTGGGGAAACACCCTTCCTTCTCTGTGTTCCTGGGTGATCTGTTCTTGGTACCTATCTTTTCTATATTCATGTGTATTTGCTTCTGAGCTAAGCTGCTGCTTTGATATCTCAAAAGTGATCTGCTTAAGATATAACCTACACTGACTGTTGTTGTTGTTAAGTGCCATGGAATCGGTTCCGGCTCATAGTGACCCTGAACAGGTAAAAGAGGCTGTAAATCTTTACGGGAGCAGAAAGCCTCATCTTTCTCCCATGGAGTAGCTGGTAGTTTCAAACTGCTGACCTTGCGGTTCGCAGCCTGATCTGTAACCACTATGCTACCAGAGCTGCTTACTCTACACTGATACCAAAACCAAATTCACTGTCATCAAGCTTAGTCCAACTCATAGCGACTCTAGAGGACAGAATAGGGTTTCTGAGACTTTAAATTTTCATGGGAGAAGACAGCCTCATCTTTCTTCTGCAGAGTGGCTGGTAGGTTTGAACTGCTGATCTTGCAGTTAGCCCAATGCTTAACCAACTGCACACCAGGTCTCCTTCATATACTCACATACAACCAAAACCAAACCCACTGCTACTGAGTTGATTCCAACTCATAGCAATCTTGTATAGGGTTTCCGAGGCTACAAATCTTTATGGGTGCAGAAAGCGTCATCTTTCTCCTGAGGAGTAGCTGGTGGATTTGAACTGCCAACCTTGATGTTATCAGTCCAGTGCATTTCCTATAGCACCACCAAGTTTCCTTATACAGATCCAGTCTCATTAATATAACAAAGAAGCTACTGTTCCCAGATGGGAATTATGTCAATGTGTGTTGTTGTTGTTGTTGTTGAGTTGGCGCTGACTCATAATGACCCTGTGCACAACAGAATGAAACACTGCCCGGTCCTGCACCAACCTCACAATTATTGCTGCAGCTGCTGTGCTCATCTATCTCACTGGGGGTCTTCTTCTTCTTTGCTTGACCCTTCACTTTACCAAACATGATGCCTTTCTCCAGAGACTGGTCTCTCCTGATAATATGTCTGAGTATGAGAGATGAAGTCTGGCCATACTGGCTTCTAAAGAGCATTCTGGTAGTACTTTTTCTAACACAGATCTGTTTGTTCTTTTGGCGGTCCATGTACTTTTAATATTCTCCTCCAACACCATAACTCAAATGCATCAATTCTTCTATGGTCTTCTTTATTCATTGTCCAACTTTCGCATGTATATGAGGTTATTGAAAACGCCATGGCTTGGGTCAGACACACCTTAGTCCTCCATGTGTTTAAGGGTGAGGATTTACAATACATAATTCTGATGGGGACACAATTCAATCCACAACAACCAGCCAGTGCAAAGGGCCTGTGGTTAGACAGGTTTTACAGTGCTAGAATCACAGCAAGGAGGCCAGTAGGACTGGAGCGGACTCTGAGGTCAAGGACTAGGAGCAGTGGTCAGAAAGGTCAGGAGGGGCCACCCTAAGTTATGCAGATTTTGTTTCTAAGAACAATGGGCAGACTCGCAGGGGAGGGTGCCAGGTTCTGATGCATGTTGTAAAATGCTGTCCTGGGAGAAGAGATTGGGTGGGGGGAGCATAGGCAACCTAGTGACAATGGGGTCTCCTTAGGAATCCAGCAAAAGATGTTAGAAGAGGGCGTGGTGGGGACAGGGAGACGTGGGTGGGTTGGGGACATGCGTCAGGGTGAGAGAAAGAGGTGAATCTAAGCTGACTAATGCTGAGGGACTTCAGCAGCAGGATGGTGGGCCATCCTCTAAATAGGGACAGCCTGAGGCCACATTAAATGTCAGCTGCCTGCAAGACCTCCTGCCACTGTCCCATCATGGATTCTTTCTTATTGTGCAGCTTTGATGGATTCATGTATCTATGTCTTCTCCAAGTGCTTTACAAGCAGTGAATCTCAGTAGTTATGAACCGAGGCTCTAGAACCGGCTAAACTGAATCTGAGTCTCAGTAGATTTGAGCAGTTGGGACCTCAACCTCAATGATCTCTGAGCATTGATGGTCCTCATCTGTAAAACAGGAAGGAGACGTCTCACAGGGCTGTTGATGACAGCGCCTGGCCCACAGTGGTGCACTAGCAGGGGATAGCTGATAATGTTGGGTCCCTCCTCAGTGCCAGGCTAGGCCTGTGCCAGGGTCTGGGGAGACAATGTGGGTAGGTAGAGTAATGGTCTCTCAAATGTCCCTGTCTTAATCCTGGGAAGGCATGATAAGTTACGTTACATGGGTCAAGGAACGCAAGTGACCTCTAGAAATAGGAAAAGGCAAGGAAATGGCTTCTCCCCTAGAACCTCTCAAAGGAATGCAACCCTGCTGACATCTTGATTGCATCTGAGAGACCCATGTTGGACTTTGGAATTCTGGAACTGGAGGATAGTAAACTGAGCTGTTTTATGCCACTTGGTTTGTGGTAATTTGTCACAGTAGCCACAGGAGACTGATACAGACAGCGGCTGAGTGAAGACAGGCCAGGCTCCTCCCTCATGGAGCACATGGTTCTAGAGGGGAAGACGGGCATCTAAACAGGCCATTAGGACCCAGTGGGATCAGAGAGATGCTGGAGGCATTCAGTGGCTGGAGAAGTAGGGAGCACAAGAAGGGCCCAGAGAAGACATGGATACTGAGACAGGAAACCTGAGGAGGAATTAGAGGCAATTAAGAGATGGAAGTGTGGTGGGAGACAGCTTGGCTAGATCTGCCCCTTCCTCCCTCTCACACATAGCCAGGCACCAAGCTAGGTGTTGGAAGAAACATGAGGCGGGGCAGACAGACAACAAAATATGAACATATTAGTGGATAATATAACGTCAGGTAAGTGTTATGAGGAAACATACTTCAGACTAAGGGGAGTGTGAATAAGAACTGAATGGAGCAAGGATCACATGGATTTCTGGGGAAGCAGTTTCCCAGAGGGAATCCCCAAACCCACATCTGCTGCCATTGAGCCAATTCTGACTGAGAGAGATGATACAAAGTGGCGTAGCACTGCTCCATAGGGTTTCTTAGGCTATACCATCTTTAATGAAACAGATTGCTACATCTTTCTCATGAAGTGCTGGTGGGTTTAAACTGCCAACTTACTGGTTGGTCACCAGGTGCTTTAACCACCGTGCCACCAGGGTTCTTTCCAGAGGGAACAGTAAGTGCAAATTCTAGGACTGAAAGGAATTCAGGCTAGCTGTCTTTCGTAAGTCACCTCCCAAGAGACTGGGGGAAGGGGGCATGGTGGCTAAACCTGTTTCATAGCTGCCCAACCCTTCTTTGATCCCCCAAGTTCCTGCCACAGTTTCTAAACATCCTCCCTCAGGGAAGGACTGACCCTTCTCTTGGCCCAGTTCCAGTTCAGACAAGGCCCTTAGCAGACATGACATGCCTAGTCCTATGGCCACTGGCTGTGACAGATAGAAGTGACCACACATCTATGGATAGTGTGGTGGCCATACAGCTGGGCACTGGGGTCAGGGTACTTGATGTGAATTCCTGCTCAAAGTATGTGATCTTGGGCAGGTTGCTTAATCCTCCATTAAATGGAAGAAATCTCTACTTCTTCCTCTGTAAAACAGGCCCAGTGGTAGTATCTACCTCACAGGGTTGGCATGAGGAAGCCAACGGCGCAGAAAACAGCTCCTGCCCTATTGAAGTTTACTTTGATAAGAGTTGATGTTGTTAAGTGCCATCTGGTAGTGTAGTGGTTATGAATTGGGCTGCTAACTTCAAGGTCAGCAGTTGGAAACTACCAGCCATTCTGCAGGAGAAAGGTGAGGCTTTCTGCCCCCATTAAAGATTTACAGCCTCGGAAACCCTGTACAAGGTTGCTATGAGTCGGAACCAACTTCATGGCACACCACCACCAATCCGTTCAGACTCAGAGCGACTCTGTACAAAGATCATTTGGTGGGTTTGAACTGCCAACCTTGCTTTAGCAGTCCAGTGCTTATCCTATAGCATCATACCAGGATCCTTTTATATGAGTCAGTGTGGCGCTGCGGGTTAATGCTCTGAACTGCAAGGTCGGTTTGAACCACAAGGTCGGCGGTTCAAGCTCACCAGCCGCTTCTCCAAAACCCTATACAGGGTCACTGAGGAAACAAAGGGTCACTAAGTCTGAAACGGCTCAACAGCATTTAACAACATTATTTTAATGATGTCCACTCCCTGCCTGGCTCATATGAGGAAACGAAGGCCCAGAGAGGCCCAGCCACTTGCTCAAGGTCACACAGCAAATGCTGAGATCCGGCAGAGTCTGGAATCAGTCCTATCTCAAAGTCCAGCTGATCTCCCGCCCCATATCCTGGGGGGGTTCTCACCTGAATCGTGTCCATGAGGCTCTGCACCTTGGCCGGGTCCAACACCGACGGCAGCGGCCGGATGAGCACGTTCAGCGGCACGTTGTGTACCGCAGTGATGCAGCCCGAGTGGATGCTGCCGCCCTGAGCGCCGCCGCTCGTCCCGGGTCCCTCCGGTGCCCCCCGACCCGCCCCGGCCCTGCCCAGCGTGCCTCCAGCGCGCAGCCCCATCGCGCCACCGCAGCCGCGGGACGCACCGCCTCCCCCGGGCTTTAACCCCCCCGGCTGGGCTGGACCGTACCATTCCGCTAGGGCATCGGGGGTTCCGAGCCGGACGGAGAGCGTGATTCCCCCCTGCCCCGCAGTGGTCCGGCCCGGCTCATGCCCGGCCCCACTGGGTTCTCTCTCGGCTTGGTGAGCACTGACTGACTGGGCGCAGGGCCCCGGCTTTCCGCCGGGGGGCGCCCGCTGCTTCCCCGCCGCCACGCGGCTTCCCAGGAATGGGAGCGCCCGGGCGGGCGGACTCTGGGTGAGTTGGCAGGTCGTAGGGCGGAAGGGGCGCGGGTGACGCACAGCCTAGGGTGACTCAGGCCCACGGGACGGGCAGGGTGGTGGTGCCGGCAACGGCATCTGTCAAACAGGCATGAGTCGGCAAAATTGGTAGTGCTCGACTGCCCACCGTCCGAGCCCGAACACTAATACCATCGCCTTAATAACAACAGCGACCCCAGTAATAATACGAATCTGGCTGCCGACTGTGTCAGTCTCTGTTGTAAACACGTTGGATATATACATGAATGTACGTAGACCTCAGCATAGCCCTACAGGGTAGGCATGGTTAGTATTCTCATTTTATAGATGGGAAACTGAGGCACCGAGAGATTAAGGGACTTGCTCAAGGTCACGGAACTAGTCAGTGGCTGCTTCAGTGTTCCAATCCAAGCAGCCTGGCAGTCACTGCTTCTCAGCAACCTTCAGAGTGAGCAGCTTGATGGAGTTGTGCTGACTCCCTGTGGTCACTGCCCTAAAGTCCCACACTGATTGTCTCATGGCTTCCTCACAGCATGGCTGGGAAGTAGCTGCAGCCATTGAACTGAGGTGCAGAGAGGCAAGGCCACTTGTCTAAGGCAGGGCAACTGAAACAGAAAGTCAGAGTTCTTCTGAGTTCAAGGACCTTGACCATCTACCCACTGACACCTTCAGGCGGATGTGGACGCGGAGGCTGTGATTGGTGATTCAGATGCACTGATGACCCTCTCTACTCTCTTTCTGTCAAAGCCCTCTGTCTCCTTGAGCCTGGTTTCAACACCCAGTGAGGTAACAGTGAGTGGGAGTGGGGGTGGGAGGGCTAGGCAGAGGCTTTAAATACCAGATGCTAAAGATCAAAGCCACCACTCCTCTGCCAGTTTGTCTACTGTGGTGGCTTGTGAGTTGCTGTGATTCTGAAACCTATGCCACCGGTATTTTAAATATCAGTAGGGTCATCCATGATGGACAGGTTCCAGATGAAGACAGACTTGGAAGAAGGAGTGACGAACTACTTTCGAATATTTAGTCACTGAAAACCTTATGAATAGCAGTGAAATACTGTCAGATATAGTGCTGGAAAATGAGCCCCTCAGGTTGGAAGCACTCAAAATGCGACTGGGGAAGAGCTGCCTCCTCAGAGTAGAGTTGACGCGAATGGAGTAAAGCCCGTGGGGGAAAAGCCTTCATTTGCTGATGGAGCACAACTCAAAAAAAGCCTTCATTTGCTGGTGGAGCTGTAAACATCCATTGAATCTGAACAGAAAATTTCAAAGATCAGCTCAAGAAGACAAAGCCAAATATTACAACAAAATGTGCAAAGATCTGCAGTCAGAAAACCAAAGAGGAAAAACACACTCAGAATTTCTCAAGCTGGGGGAACCGATGAAACAATTCAAGCCTCGACTTTCGTTACTGAAAGATTATCTGGGCAAATT